GGGGGATAATTGAAAGGGGTCTCATTAACCTGCTATCGGCGGCGAGCTCCGCGCCGCCCCGCCCCGCCCCGCCCGGCCCAAAGCCCCTCATTGTCTCGCCTTACGTAACGCCAGGCGCCAGGCGCCATGCTCTGGTGTACCGTGACCGTATCACCCGTCGTCATCGGCCAAAGTGGCGGCGTTACAAAAACCGACAAAATCGGCTCAAAAACGGCACGGCTCCGGCGGTGTACGGTACGGAGTCGACTTCCGTATTTGCGGGGCTTAAGGCAGCCTGTAAGACCGGGTTATACAGGGTGGTCCACAGACCCCTTCCCTTGTTTTATTTCCCCATACTGTACCGCATGCAGGCGGGCGGGCGGGCTTGCCTACCTTAGCTCACCGCGGTGCCTTATGGCCCCGTGAGCAACCCGCCCACACACATGCATGCGGTACAGTATAAGCAAAATAAAGGAAGGGGTCTCTGGTTTACCTTGAATGTTTCAGGGGTCCGTTCGCGGGTCCGTTGGTGTGATTTCCACTTTTCCACAAGGTTTTGAGCAGAGTTGATTGGGAAGCGACATCATGAAGTGCCCGAGGCATGCTCGAAGCCGCGATAGTCTGTAGTCTTTTGCTATTTTATGACGAGACGGACACGGACGCTTGTGAGATGACGCGCCGATGCCGTTGGAGAAGCAGGGAGAGAGGAAGCGCGGTTGGTGCGTTCCGTTTACGTCCTCCTGCAGCCGCGGCGATGCGATACCGTGCCTTCCCCGAATGTACGCGCCTGCGGGCCCTGCGGGTGCGATCGACCTCAATCGACCTGAGGGCCTCGTCGTCAATCACTCCCCATGTGACTGCTGTGCCCCGCGCCTCTCCTCAGCCCGCCCCCACCCGCCACTTGCATCTATGGTGCGTGACATTCCACCACTTGAAAGCGTGTGAAAAAAATAGAGTAGACATATGCAATAACGGGCCCATGCCAACAAGGGTGTCAAACTAAATGAGTGTTCTGATTAATTGGTGGTTTTTTATTGGCTTACGAGTAAGAGAGCAACTTATTTAAGTTGTTTGTCACTCATTTTTTTCGATTGCAATATTCTTTTGTAAAACGGAGTTACATAGTACTTAGGCGCGTAATTCCGTGAAAAGAGTTAAAATATTTACCCTTTTGCCTGCTATGGCGTCACTTCCGTTGCTATATTCACTTAAGGCTCCGATATGGGAAAGCGTATGGGAGAGCGTAGGCGTAAGCGTAAAAGCGTAGCGCTCGGGTAGTGACCTAACCTTACATCGGCACAAATTTTGTCTGACATCTTCTTTAAAATAGTAATATTATGGCCGCAGCGGACTCCGAATGCATGACAACACCAGAAAATGCTTTTCAACACTTGTCAAAACCGAAAATGAGCCAAGATGAGGTTAGGGCGCGTACCCCCACTCCGCTCATTTACGCCCAGCCACTACGATTTACGCTTACGCTTTACGCTCTCCCATACGCTTTCCCATATCGGAGCCTTAAGTGAATATAGCACGTTAAATTAGAAAAGAAGGATTTTTACTTGTAATAAATTTTTAGACAGCCCCCAAGACTGTCTCTACCAGACAGAAAAGTGCCCTCCCCCTCCCCTCTCCTCCCTTCCGCCCCTTTTATTTTTATAACTTTCAGGGGAATTTTTGTGACAGAAATTTTGTGAGTAAATTAAATTGTAGGCAATTTCTGTTCTCCTTCCCGAACACTTTGACATGAAACAAAAGTAAAAACTGTCGGTCGTTGTCCATGCATTGCTGGATGACACCCACCTTTAGTCTCTGCGCTCGCCGCCGCCAGCAGGGCCGCCAGCAGGGCCGCCACCACACACAGCCGCCGTAATCCAATCATGGCGCGGCGAACAATAAACTCCACAGGATGAAGAAGAATAAGAAGAGGAGGCTGCCTGTCCCTCACTCACTCGCACACTAGAGCACTCGCGAAGCACTCGCGTCACCGCCTTCGGGCACTCGATGATGACCAGGCTCCTCTCGGTCCCATTCCTCCGGGGCACTGCACTTGTTTTGTCACGACACCGGCGAGACGGGCAGGACCTGGACGCACGTGGGCTCCGCGTCGACGCGACTCGCGCGCGCCTGTGACGTCCTGAACACTCCGCGAGCGGGTCCGCGTCGGTCTGCTCGCGGCCGCGGTCGGGCGGGTACTGGCGGGCGGCTGGTGGTGGGGCCGCGGCTGGCAGGCCTCCCCCCCGCGCCGGAGCCCCCGGTGCGCGCCGGAGGTGAGACGGGTGAGACCGACCCGGGGCCCACACCTCCGCCTGGGCTCGGGGGAGGGGGAAGGGTTACGGAGGAGGGGAGGTGTTCGAGAGGGGCTGGCAGGCTGACTGACAGTTGTGTTGTGACTCAGACTCACGACAGGCCCGCCGGGCCCGGCCGCAGCAGGGGAACTGCTTGTGATTGTTATTATTGTAATGAGATCGGAAAACCACGTCGAGCGAGAAGGGGAGAGAGAGAGAGCAGGGGAAAATAACAGTGAGCTTAAGTGATATTGGTATTCGGGTTCGGTTAGTCTGGCAGGTTGAGTGTATCACCCCCCCCCCCACCTCCCCGCAAATGATCCTTTCGTGCTCGCTCGGTATCTCCTTGATGGCCAGGGGCGTGTTGGTCGTGTGTGGCGCGTCCAGAGCGCGTCCGGCTGAGGTTCAGGGCGCCACCGTGGTGGGCGGCGGCCTGGTCGTAAACACCACATGAAATGGAAGCTGCGGGCCAGCAGCCGGCCCAGGCCAGAGGCGTAGCCACGGGCAGCCATTCAACAGTTGCGGAGGACGATCCATGGGGCCATTAGACCCCACTACAGAACACAACGACCTATAGGAGGGGGAAAACAGAGCGCTCAATCAGGTTTTCAAAAATGTGTATCACTTTCCATCTTTTTTCCGAAAATGTGTATACCTCGAGGTAATACCTTTTACCCACCTGAACGTTTCTGGTGAAAACTAAAAAACAACCTCCGATGGCGCATCATTGCCTATGTTAGTTGATCGATGGAAAAAAATTCCGTCTTGGAACATAAAAGCAGAAGTTGACTAAAAGGTCGAGTGTGGCGCCCCCCTGATTTAAGACCCTAGAGTTCCCAGGTTCTCCAGGAGCCGTCAGCTAGACACGACGCGCGCGCAGGTTATAGGAGGGCGGCGCCGGCGGACCTTGGGGAGATTATTTGAATGCGGGTATATATGTGCGAGTAGAGCGTGACGTGTCGCCAGCGAGAGCTAACAGACGCGCGCGGGGCTTGCACGAGGCGCAGTCAATCCGAAATTGTAACGCTGAGCGATTGAGTCTTCGAGCTGAGAAGTAAAGTGGGTGTGAATGAAATTCAAAGACGAGACTAAGAAAAGTCGTTTTGTGCAACATGTTTTTTTCTGTGAGACGGGCAGAGAGGGGAATGCGAATGCGTAATGTGTGTGTCTTCAAGGTTTTCGGCCGACCGAACGGTCCACAGCGCCGAGTCAGATGGGCTGGACGGGGGTGCGGGGCGGGGCAGGGCGGGGTCTGGCCTGGCTGGTGTGCTCGCCGCCGTCGAGAAGTGCGTGGGCTCAGCCGGGCGGAGACGCCTTAGCAGACGCACCACCTCCTGCCCACAGTGATCGCGCTCGTCCACTGTAAAGCGAAACGAAAATAATACGAACGCTCGCAGTCGGCTTTACGGCCCTCTTTCTTTCTTTCTCGCATCCCCTGTCCTCTCTCTCTCACACACACACACTTCGCACGTAGCCGTGCCGCCGCCGGAGCGTCGCAAGGTCTTCCGCAATAAAATAGGCCGGGGTGGCCGGTGCGCGCGGGGTGCGGCAGGGTACGTGGGGAGAGTATAAATCGGGCGCGAGACAACGCCCAGGGGAGGAGGGAAAAAGAGAGAGAATATCTTAATAAATCTTCAATTGTGCTCACGTGTGTGCG